CCTGTAGTCCTAGCTACTCAGGAGGCTGAAGTGGGAGGACTGCTGGAGCCCAGGCATTCGAGACTGCAGTGAGCTATGATTGCACCACTGCACTTTAACCTGGGTGGCAGAGCAAAATAATAATATTAATAATGTCTGTTTCTAAAATAATAATAAAAATAATGATGAAGAAAGAACTCAAATCAGTGACTTCAGCTTCCACCTAGGGAACTTAGAAAAAGGAGCAAATTAAAACATGTAAAAGAAGACAAATTATAAAGGTCAGAACAGAATCCAATGAAATAAAAAATAGAAAAAGAGAAAAATCAATGAAACCTAAAGTTTTTTGAGAGGATCAATATAATTGATAAGTCTCTATCCAGACTCACGAAAGAGAGAGAAGACACAAATTATCAGTATCAGGAATGAGAGAAGACAGCACTACATACTCTACAGATATTAAAAGGATAATAGAAAATATTCCAAATAATTTTACGGCAATAAATCTGACAACTCAAATGAAATGGACAAATGCTTTGAGAGAAACAAACAAATAATGCTCATTCAAGAAAAAATGGGTTACCTAAAAAGCCCTACTGTCTAGTAAAGAAATTGAACTCACAGTTAAAAACCTTCCCACAAAGAAAACTACAAGCCAAGATGGCTTCACTGGTGAATCTCCGAACATAAGGAAAGAATAATACTATCTACATATACTCTTCCAAAAAACTGAACAGGAGGGAATACTTCCCAGCTCATTTTATGAGATCTGCATTACTCTGATACGAAATTCAAACTAAGACACTGATATAGTTTGGCAATGTGTCCCCACCCAAATCTCAGGTTAAATAGTAATCCTCAATGTTGGAGGTGGGACCTGGTGGGAGGTGACTGGACCACAGTGATGGATTTCTCATGAATGGTTTACACCACTCCCTTGGTGCTGGCTTCACCACAGTGAGTGACTTCTTGCAAGATCTGGCTATTTAAAACTGGGTGGCACCTCATTCTCTCTCTTGTTCCCACTCCTGTTATGTGAGATACCTGCTCCCACTTTGCCTTCTGCCATGACTATAAGCTTCCTGAGGCCTCTCTAGAAGTAGAAGGAGTGGGGCATTGCTATAAAGATACCTGAAAATATGGAAGCAGCTTTGGAATTGAGTAACAAGCAGAGATTAGAAGTGTGTAGAAGGTTCAGAAGGAGAGAGAAAAGATGAGGGAAAGTCTGGAACTTTTCAGAGACTGGTTATTTGATTGTGACCAAAATGCTGATAGTCATACACACAATAAAGTCCAGGCTAATGAGGTCTCAGATGGAAATGAGGAATTTATCAGGAATTAGAGCAAACATCATACATGTTTGCCTCAGCAAAGAACTTGTCTGCATTCTGTTCATGCCCTAGGGATCTGTGGAAGTTTGAATTTGAGAGTGATGACCTAGGGTATATGGTAGAAGAAATTTTTAAGCACCAAAGTGTTCAAGATGTTTCCTGCCTGCTTCTAACAGCCTGTGCGCAGATGCAAGAGCAAAGGAATGACCTGAAGCTGGAACTTATATTTAAAAGGGAAGCAGAGCATAAAAGTTTGGAAAATTTGCAACTTGGCCACATGGCAAAGAAATAAAAAGTTTTTGAGAGAGGATTTCAAGCAGATTTGTAGAGCAACCACTTCCTTGAGAAATTTACGTAACTACAAAGAAGCCAAGGGCTGATAGCCAAGACAATGGGGAAAAAACCTCAAGGGCATTTGAGAGACCTCTTCCTAGAGAAATTTGCATAACTTCAAAGATAGCCAAGGCAATGGGGAAAAGAAACCTCAAATGCATTTCAGTGACCTTCAGGCAGCCCCTCCCATCACAGGGCAAGAGGTCTAAAAGGACAGAATGGTTTCATGGGCCAGGCCCAGAGCCCCTTTGCCCTGCAGAGCCTCAGGACACTGCTCCCTGCATCCCAACTGCTTGGGTTCTGCTACGGTTCTAGCCTCAGATCAAAAAGGCCCAGGTACAGCTCAGGCCACAGCTCCAGAGGGCACAAGCTATGAGCCTTTGTGACTTGCATGTGTTATTAAGCCTGTGAGTGCACAGAGTGCAAGGGTTGAGGCTTAGGATTCTCCAACTAGATTTCCGAGAATGTATGGAAAAGCCTGGGTGTCTAGGCAGAAGTCTGTTGCAGGGTAGAAGCCCTCATGCAGAACCTCTACTAGGACAGTGCAGAGGGGAAATGTGGGGTTGAAGCCCCTACACAAAGTCCCCACTGGGGCACTGCCTAGGAGCTGTGGGAAGAGAACCACCATCCTGCAGACCCAAGAATGATAGATTCACTGGCAGCTTGCACCCTGCACCTGCAAAAGCTATAGACACTCAAAGCCAGCCCATGACAGCAGCCTCAGAAGCCCCTGCAAAGCCACAGGGGCAGAGCTGCCTAAGGCCTTGGGAGCCCACTCCTTGCACCAGTGTGCCCTAGATGTGGGACATGGAGTCAAAGGATATTATTTTGGAGATTTAAGATTTAGTGGCTGCCCTGTTGAATTCTGAACTTTCATGGGTCCTGTAGCTCCTTTCTTTTGACCAATTTCACCCTTTGGAATAAGAATATTTACCTAATGCCTTTACCCCCTTTGTATCTTGGGAGTAACTAAGTTGTTTTGATTTTACAGGCTCACAGGTAAAAGGAGATGAGTATCAGATGAGACTTTGGACTTGAACTTGGGACTTTTGAGTTATCGCTAGAACAAGTTAAGACTTTGGGAGACTACTGGGAAGAGATTATTGTATTTTGAAATTCAAGAAGGGCATGAGATTTGGGAGGGGCCGGGGCAGAATAATACAGTTTAGGATTTGTGTCTCCATCCAAATTTCATATTGAAATGTAGTCCCCAGTATTGAAAGTGGGACCTGGTGGGAGGTGACTGGATCATGAGGGTGGATTTCTCATGAATGGCTTAGCACTATCTTCTTGGTGCTATCCTTGCTACAGTGAGTAATTTCTTGTGAGATCTGGTCATTTAAAACAGTGCGGCACCTTGCTCTCTCTTTCATTCCCACTTCTGTTATGTGAGGTGTCTGCTCCCACTTTGCCTTCTGCCATGACTGTAAGCTTCCTGAGGCCTCGCCAGAAGCAGATGGTGGTGCCAGGAAACAGATGCTTCCTGTAGAGCCTGCAGAACTGTGGGCCAATTAAACCTCTTTTCTTATAAATTACACAGTTTCAGGTATTTCTTTATAGCAATGCAAGAATGGCCTCATACAGACATTAAAAGAAAGAAAATATTGCATTTATTAGTAGCGAATATAATGATACTGCTTTTCCAGGTAATCCAGGGCTCCCTTACCTTTTCTTCATAATTTGGTAGTTTATCTTTGCATATGGTTATGATGTCCATCCAGGAGTAGTTCCTCTCTCTTCGGATCTTTTCTAATTCTGGATCATTCTCATATTTGTCAGCATCCAGCTAAAAGAGTTAACCCACCACAAACAAGAGCTCAGATTAACAAGGAGATGTAGAAACATTCTCTTTCTGGATCTCCAATATGATTTCATACTCTAAATTTATCATTTGTTATTTTTTCAACCATCAACTAACTCTCTTCATCTCTTCTATCCATTTAATGGATTTTCCATTCTCCAATACACCAGCTATACATACAACGGATTTCTGTTTGATTTCTGCCTCCCTTCTCTGCAACAGTCCATCCCGGGGAATTCTTTTTCCCATTTTGAGATGATGGTCTCACCAACTCAAGCCTGTCTGACCTATCCACAGGTCCCTCACTGTGCCCTGTTTCTCTGCCACCATCCCATTCATGAGTCTCATTGATCCTCAATGCCATCTCTTTGGTCAATTTGTTTCCAGGAGCCAAAACATTGTATGCCCTCACAGCTTGCAAATAAAACTCAAGTTAATTAGGCTGAGTTAATTAACCTTCTATCATCTGGCACCAGCTGACTTTTCTACTTCTATCTGTTCCTTGTTTCCTACTTTTTAAAGAACTCTACATTCTAAACCAAATAGGATGATTGGCTATCTTAAAAATATTTGATATTTAACATCCCCACAGCCTTGCTCATGACAGTTTTCTGTGCCTAAAATTCCCATTCAACATTTTCATTTATTACAATTCTATCCCTATTAAGGTTCAATTTTACTGTTCCTTCCTTACGAAGCACTTCCCTGACGAAGCTCCAGACAGAATTAATCTGAACTCTTAAAACCACTGGCAGTGAATTTAGCACACTTTATGTTTTGCAATAAACTGCACATCGTATCATCACTACTTAACTGAACAACAAACTCCAGTGTTGTGGAAAGTCAGGGACCCCAAATGGAGGGACCAGCTTGAGCCGCGGCAGAGAAACATAAATTGTGAAGATTTCATGGGCATTTATCAGTTCTCAAATAATACTTTTATAATTTCTTACGCCTGTCTTTAATCTCTTAATCTAATTCTGGATCTTTGTAAGCTGAGGATGTACATCACCTCAGGACCACTATGATAATTGTGTTAACTGTACAAATTGACTGTAAAACATGTGTGTTTGAACAATATGAAATCAGTGCATCTTGAAAAAGAACAGAATAACAGCGATTTTTAGGGAACAAGAGAAGACAATCATAAGGTCTGACTGCCTGCAGGGTTGGGCAAAAAGAGCCATATTTTTCTCCTTGCAGACAGCCTATAAACGGATGTGCAAGTAAGGAAGATTCCTTTTCTTAGCAAGGAATATTAATATTAATACCCTGGGGAAGGAATGCATTCCTGGGGGGAGGTCTATAAATGGCCGCTCTGGGAATGTCTGTCTTATGTGGTTGAGGTAAGGACTGAGCTATGCCCTGGTCTCCTGCAGTACCCTCAGGCTTACTAGGGTGGGGAAAAACTCTGCCCTGGTAAATCTGTGGTCACACCGGTTCTCTGCTCTCGAACCCTGTTTTCTGTTATTTAAGATGTTTATCAAGACAATACATGCACCGCTGAACATAGACTCTTATCAGTGGTTCTGTTTTTGCCCTTTGCCTTGTGATCTTTGTTGGACCCTTATCAGTAGTTCTGCTTTTGCCCTTTGCCTTGTGATCTTTGTTGGACCCTTATCAGTAGT